TGATTGGTTCCGGGCCGATTTCGGTGGGTTCTGTGTTCCTGGGCTCCTGGGTCCCCAGTCGATCTCCTCAGCGAAAATCATCCTCTGATTCGGTTTCTTCTCTGGTGTAATTTGTACCGGTCTGCATCGGGGGAGGAACGAGTTCAAGCAGTGGTGAAGCGTCTTGGTTCGCCTATAGGCCCACCAGACAAAGTTCTGATCACCTTCTCTTGTGGTCTGCGCGACATGTTCTTAGAGCATTGTTGGCTGACGCCGTCTTGCTGCTTCATCACAGGAGGAACAATAGGGAAACGGCTAATGACATAACACTATCATGGCGAAGGATCCAACCATATGCAGTTGTGAGTACCGTTCTTGTGAATATCTTTTTCGGTGGCGTTCCTTATGGGGCCCCGAATCCACGAACCGTATGAGGGGCGTACCGCATTGCGTGGCGGGGTACACAACACGAAGGAACACGACAGGTCTAATTGCGAGAGGTTGAGCGCGGGTGAGTCTGCGCGCGAGCGAGTATGAGTGTGAATGAGTCTGCGCGCGAATGAGTATTTACACATGAGTGCGATCATGGCGACTCGTGGTGTAAACGCACATGAATGTGAATGGCTCCGGTATGCCCGATTCTGAACACTTGTGACATTGAGCGAAGCCGCCGCAAGGAGCTCCCCAGGGAACCCTGACGGCAGCGCCCGCACGCCGCGACGCCCCTGTCGGCACGCCCCTCACGAGGATCGCGCCTACGTTGTTCCCCTCCTTTCTTCTCCCTTTGCCCGCGCAGTCTAAAGTCCGATGTTGCGGGCGCAGCGCAACGCGGAGTCCCCGCGACGCGCGCCGGTCGTCCCGGAGGGGTCTCAGCGACACGCGCGGGTCGTCCGTTGCGTGGAGCAAAGACAGCTGGCTGCCAGGCTGACTACGGGCAAGGCACTGGCCGGTAGGCAGAGCGACGACGGGCGAGCGAGGCGGTGGGCAGAGCGCAGCACGGAGTTCCCGCGACGCGTGGCGGTCGCCCCAAGGGGGCCCCAGCGACTCGCGCGTGTCGTCCGCGGCGCGAGGCCAAACAACCAGTCGGGCAATCGAGAGAAGGCGCGGCTCGGGCGGGGCGCCTTTTTCAAGTCAGCCCTCGCGGATGAATTCGGCTAAGCCGAGCTCCTTTGCGAGGGCCGTCGCCTCCCTCCTGCGTCGCTTCGTGCGCGCCGCAATCTGCGCCAGCTGCTTCCGCAAGCCTCCTGGCGGCCCTGCCAGGAAGAACTCGATGCGCGGCGCCCGCATGGGCAGGAGGTCCCCGTGGCGGGTGGCGCGCGAGAGCAGCGCGTTGAGCTCCAGCCACCAGTCGTCGTCCTCCGTCTTGCCGTTCCCGACCTGGTGGCGGCCGCAATCCAGGATCACGCCTGGGCGACGTCGGCCGAGGGAGCAGCGCGCCGGACACGCGACGGCCCAGGGCGAGAGTCCACTGGACCGACAGACGGTTTGGCTGCGGACCGCTCGCGACCAGTAGGTTCGGCTGTTGAATGCCCAGGGGCGCCGTTCCCTCGCCCCGTCGCCTTCTCGCATGGTGCGCCCCTGACACGCCACCGCGGCGATGGCCCTGCCGTGCGAGAGTGGGAGGTCCGTCCAGGTGACCTTGGAGGTGCGGAAGGCAAACGGCTCCGACGTGCGGGGCTCGATGAACACCAGCGGGCCCGCGAGGTCCCATGTGAGATTGTCGTCGTGGCGTTTCAGTTCGTCCACGAAGGGCGCGGTCGCGCACTTCTCCATGCGCGCCCAGAACCCCAGCGGCAAGCGCTTCAGATAGATCCTCTTCTCCTTGTTTCTCTCGGTTTCCCCGACGTCGTCCAGATCCCGATAGGTCCATGACGATGTGAACGATCTGCCCTTCGGCATTCTTGACGAGGCCGCTCTTGAGGGCGAGCCCGTCCAGGAGCCGGATCCGCATGCCCGTGTGCACAGGGGGCAGTCCGTGCATGCCACCGGTGTTCTTCGGGTAGGCACAGTTCATCATTTTGGCGGCGTCCTTGACATTCATCGTCGGGGCAGACCACGAGGAAAAAGGTTTTTTTTTTCAGGACGTCCGCGTTTCGCTGGGCGCCCATCTTCATCCACCGCGCCACGGTGTCCCAGCAGGGCCCGATCATGCGATTTTTCGGTTGGGGCCGCGAAACGTGTGAGGGGTGTGCCGACATGGGGTTGGAACCGCATGCGAACGCAGCAACTGGGGCTTTCGGTGGAGCTCTTACGGGGCCACGTAACGTGTGACGGGTGGGCCAACATGGGGGTGGAACCGCGTGCGAACGCAGCCAGGGGCCTTCGGTGGAATGCCCAATGGGGCCACGGAGCGTGTGAGGGGTGCGCCGACATCGGGGTGGAACTGCATGCGGGCGCTGCCGCTGTGGCCTTCGGTGGAGTTCCCTATGGGGTCACGTAGCGTGAGGGGTGTGTGCCCAAACGAGGGGTGGAACCGCATACGGGCGCTGCCGCTGGGGCCTTCGGTGGAATGCCATATGGGGCCACGAAACGCGTGAGGGGTGTGCCGAAATGGAGGTGGAACTGCATGCGGGCGCTGCCGCTGGGGCCTTCGGTGGAGCTCCCTATGGGGCCACGAAGCGTGTGAGGGGTGTGCCGAAATGGGGTTTGGACCGCATGCGGGCGCTGCCGTCGGGGCCTTCGGTGGAGTTCCCTATGGGCCCACGAAGCGTAAAAAGGGGTGTGCCGAAATGGAGGTGGAACGGCATGTCGGCGATGCCGCAGGGGCCCTCGGTGGAGCTCGCTATGAGGCCACGAAACGTGGGAGTGGTGTGCCGAAATGGGGGCGGAACCGCGTGCGGGCGCTGCCGTTGGGGTCTTCGGTGGAGCTCCCTATGCGGCCACGATATGTGTGAGGGGTGTGCCGAAATTGGTAACGATGATGGTGGCGATAACGGCGATGATGATGGCGACGATGGTGATGATGACTATGGTGCAGATGATGATAACGACGATGATACGGACGATGCTGATGTTGTTGATGACGATGATGATGACGATGACGATGCCGATGGTGCTGCGAATGATGATGGTGATGGCGATGATGACGATGATGTGGATCATGATGAGAGGAGGAGGGAAAGGGGCAACGGGAGGGGTGAACGCGGGGCACTGTCTCTTTAAAGCGAGGACCCAACACCACAGGCTGGTTGAAAATGGCAACTCAGAAGATCGCGCGGATTTTTCGGATCCGCGCTGTGCCCCCCTGGCGGCGCCTGCGGCGCCGCCCGTGGCGCGCTCCGCGCGGGCCTCCGAGGTTTTACGTTTATGTTTTCTTTCGCTCCCCTAAACAAGTAATCGTACCGCTACCCTTGCCTCGTGTTCATGGTTTGAGGGTCTCCTGGAAACCACTCGTTGTCACCGTTGGGTTCGCATTTGAAATGCTGTGTGGGTGCCTTTTGGTCTCCCGACTTCAGTGGGAATGTCAGCCAGGGGCGGCCAAGAACCGGGGGGATGACCAGGGGGGTCATGGCCAGAGCCATGATATCTCCTTGGACTGCACGGCGCCTCTCCTGATTTGAATGCTGTAAGTCGTTGTGTTGACGCGCCAGCAACGCCCGCGATGGCATTCAAGGTTGACTTCGTCGACAATGCGTCCCTTGGCCCCCCCTTGGTCGCGCGCGTGCCTGGGGCCGTGATCTGCGAGCCCTGGTCCTGGACGCCCCCGACGGGGGCAGCGCTCGGGGGGGATACCTGAGCGCCGGGGAGGACGCATCGGCCTCCAATCGGCCGCTGGGGCCGCCCGCGCCGAGGACCATGCGGATATGCCAGCGGGAGCGTATCGCCGACCTCTCGGCAACGTCTCGCCGATCCTGGGACGGTTTTCCGCCCCGGAGCCCGTTCACCCATCAGGACGATGAGGAGGAGGAGGTGGAGGAGGAGGATGAGGAGGAGGAGGAGGAGGAGATGGAGGAGGAGGAGGAGGAGGGAGGAGGAGGAGGAGGGGGAGGGGGAGGGAGGGAGGAGGAGGAGAGAGGAGGAGGAGGAGGAGGAGGAGGAGGAGGAGGAGGAGGAGGAGGAGGAGGAGGAGGAGGAGGAGGAGGAGGAGGAGGAGGAGGAGGGAGGAGGAGGAGGAGGAGGAGGAGGAGGAGGAGGAGGAGGTGGAGGAGGAGGAGGAGGAGGAGGAGGAGGGAGGAGGAGGAGGAGGAGGAGGAGGAGGAGGAGGAGGAGAGGAGGAGGAGGAGGAGGAGGAGGAGGGAGGAGGAGGAGGAGGAGGAGGAGGAGGAGGAGGAGGAGGAGGAGGAGGAGGAGGAGGAGGAGGAGGAGGAGGAGGAGGAGGAGGAGGAGGAGGAGGAGGAGGAGGAGGAGGAGGAGGAGGAGGAGGAGGAGGAGGGAGGAGGAGGAGGGGGAGGAGGAGGAGGAGGAAGCGAAAGAAGGGCCTGGGCCCCCAGCGCCGCGAAACGTCTTTGCATGCGGCGGTCGGACAGTATGGTAATCAGACGTCGCCTGCATCGGCGATGCGGCTCGAGTCCCCTACCTGGACCCCGGACGTCATGCTTTTGTGTCTCGTGCAGGAGCGCGCGCCGCTGGAGCTCTCGACCCCTTCCTGGGGACCGGCTTCTCATCCCGAATGGTGGTGCTCTGACGGCCCCGAGATCGGGGGCAAGGGGGCGGTCGCCGGGGCGGGCGGAATTGGGAGGTGACCTGAATCGGGGGGGTGAAGACGAGGGCTTCAACGGGACGAGGGCGCCAGCAGGGGCCCTGCAGTGCCCCCTCATTTCACCTCCCCTGCGGGCCACGCCCCATCTACTTGGCATCGCTCGGACGTGTGCGCTTTTTCCTCGGCGAGGACCACCGAGGAGCATCCTTGATCATTTGGCGAAAAATACCACGCACGGAACCCCAAAAAACACAGGGAATGGGCGTCCGAGCGATGGCGAGTCTGGCACCCGCCCGTGGCCCCGCGGGGCCCGGCGCGGGCCACCCGGAGGCCCCCCGAGAGGAAGCCCCCGAGCGGTGCAGCACCTCCGCGCCTCGCCCAGGAGCGGCCGCGGAGGCGCGCCCGCAGGCGCCGCGCCCGAAGAGGGCCCCCTGCCGAAGGCCGGGCGGTGCTGGCAGGGCCCCGCCCACGGCCCGCCGACGGCCTGCCCGGAGGCCCCGCGGAGGCCCCGCCCGAGGGCCCCGCCGAGGGCCCCGCCGGGGAGGGCCCCCCCCCCGCAGGGCCCCGCCGGAGGGCCCCGCCGGAGGGCCCCGCCGGAGGCCCCGCCGGAGGGCCCCGCCCGGAGGCGCGGCCCGGCCGGCGGCCCCGACGAAGGCCCGCCCGAAGGCCCCCGTGGGTCCAGGGCGGCCGTCGGTTTGCAGCCTCGGTGTGGCCCCCGCGGGGGGCCCCGGCCACTGCAGCCCCGCTCGAGCAATTAGCGGCGGCGAGCGCGGGGGATGATGAAGCGGGGAGGAGGCGCCGGGCCGGGCGCTGCTAGCAAGGGGCGGGTCCGAAGCAGCCGCCGGGCGGGTGATCCAAACCAGCCAAAATGAAGGGGCCCTGAGACACACAAATAAATACACACAAATAAAATAATCCCCCATATTTTACCATATTTTCTGGGTTTCTGTCTTCCCGCCCACTTCCCATATTTTCCCATATTTTCTGGGAAATCCAGGATTAATTGTGTCTGTGTGTTTCTTTTCCTCCTGACAAAGAGGCTCGGGGGATGCTCGAGAGCTCTCCGGGTTTCTCCTCGATTCTTGGCGGGTCCCCGGCCTCGGGGAGCTGTTCCGCAGCTGCGCGCCGTCGAGGGCGTTCCGGGGATGCCAGAATCGGTCCAAGCGGCCGCCGGAGAGCCGAGCCTGACGATCGTTTTCTTGTTCATTGTTTTGCCGATCGGCGCGGGCTCTCGCACCTTTCCCCCCCCCATGGAGTACACCTTAGGCGATGTTTAAGAAAACTTAAGTTTTCGACCAGAGTCTCGATTATTCTTAACGTTTCAATGTAAATCTTTAGATTTTAATAGAAATGTTGGGTTTTTATTCAAGTTCTGAGACTATGAATTTCTCAACCCATGATTTCTTAAGCATTTCGCAGGGTGTAGATCTTGGCTGTTTGGGGCGCCTGCCTCGAGCAGGCGGGGTCTCCCCCATAGCACGCACTGCTGCAAACAGTTGCATTGAGCAGAGGTCCGGAGTCATACCCCCCCTTCCCAACCCCCTGTTCCATCGATTCTCGAAACGCCGAACAAGAACACGTTCCATTTTCAGCCTCGAGTTGGCTCGCGCAGGGGGCCAGAAGTAGCCACAGCAGACCCGCCTCTCGGCGGCGAGCGAGGGGGAGAAGTGAGGAGGAGGAGGCCTTCTGAGAAGGCGGCGGGGCTTCTCAGGAGCGGTCTGGCCTTCGAGAAATTGTTTCTGCGTTGTTCGGGGAAGGCTGAGACAATTTCTCAGAAGGCCGGAGGGATTTCCGAGCCTTCTAGGAAGGCCCGCATTTTCTCTCTAGGCCGCCTAGGTGGAGTCCGAGGAAGAGGAGGAGGAGGAGGAGGAGGAGGAGGAGGAGGAGGCGGAGGAGGGAGGAGGAGGAGGGAGGAGGGAAGCTGGAAGGAGGATGTCAGGACCACTTTTTCTGGCACCACCCGACTCAGGGCCGGCCACGGGAGCGCCCTGGCCCGCGACACGGGCCGCGGGGGCGACCGAGGCGGCGACCGCCAGACCCCGGAGGAGCTCGGCTTCTCCGACACGGGTCGGGGGGCGCCAAGCTTCGGGCAGCGGCGGCAGCGACGGCGACGACGTTCTGCCCATGGCTCGAGGTTCGAGGGAAGTCGGCCGTCGGGATTCCAGCCTCGGGACGCCTTCTGCGGCTGCGCCTTGCCGAGAGCGTTCCGGGGGTGCCCGGATCGTCCCGAGTGGCCGCCAGACCGGAGAGCCGAGGTATGACCCGAAAGCCAGGGGCTCCGACGGCGACGTTCCAGAAGAAGTCTCGGGTCGGGCGAAAGGGGGGGAATGGGAAAGGGGGGGTTACGAAATTTGCTGCATGCAGCTGGTTTCGGCCTCACCGAGGGGCCCATTCCTCGATACATAACCGCCTCCAGCGCCGGGAGGCGCCGGGAAAATCAGCTACGTGAGCTGATTCTCAAACCCCCCCTTTGCTATCCCCCCCTTTTGCCCGACCCGAAAGTCGGCTGTCTCTGGAGGTTCTCGACGACACGGCTCGAAGAAGGGGGAAGGATGGAAGAGGAGTCGCTCTGAACCACCTCAGCCTCAGCCCAGAGGGCTGGAGGGATTTGTCAGGGCAGATCCCAGGGGGGCTGGGCTTCTCCGACGCGGTTCGGGGGGCGCCAGTTTTCAAACGGCGGCGACGGCGATGAAGGGGAACGTTAAGGGGAGGATGCATCGACACCCAGTCGCCCAGTGATCAAGACAGAGATCCGATAGCCCACCCCGCCAAGGAGCTTGCGGATTCACTATCGGGTCCCGCTGATTTCGGGTCGATCGTTCCCCCCTGAGCCAGTTGACACGCCTTAGTTTTCCCCCTCAGACGATCGAGGCACCGCAAACAAGGAAAAGCGCGCGCGGACTAGTGACCCGGTCCCGCCTCCATCTGGGGCGTCCCCGCGGCCACCGTTGGGTTCGTTCCGAATTTCTGCCCCGAAGGCATACCGAACCCCGACATCAGACAGAGACGGCAGTTGTTGTAGAAGTTCGGTCCTCTACAAGCTTCGTCAAGAAAAGATGCCACGCCTTTCAAAGTCGCGGCGCTCGAAACTCCAGGCACCTTGTCAGCACGCGTATTCTTCGATGTTGTCAGGCGGTTGCCAGATTTCGGATACCCCTTCGTCGGGGCCAAAGATCTCATGCCAGACCACACATCAACACCCACCGAACCACCCCAACACAACCTCAAGGCCCCAATTGTCTCTCCATGTCCATGTATCTGGAACCCGACCCCCCCCCCCACACACACACACACACACACACACACACTGAAATATGGGTATTCGGGTTGGGTTGGGATGGTTTGGTAGGCAATGTCGCCAAACTGGTAAACTAACTGATGATTGGCATATGCGCGTGAACTGTATGCTTGCAGATGTGCAGGGTACTTCGACCGACGAGAAGGCAGTTCTCGTCTTACTGGAACACTGTACTTACATACGGGCGCGACTGCGCGCGCGTGTGCGCGCGGTGGCGTCCAGCATTCGTGCGCGATGTAAGGCTGACTGGCCTTATTTTAGCGCGCACGATCCCGAATTTACAATTGTTTGTTTCCTACGCGGTTTCGGGGGTGACACGTGTCACCCGTTGTTCTGTTGTGAGGTTGAATGGCCTTATGTTGACTACCATATTCCCAACTTTGCCATTGGTTTTTCTGTACGGTTTCGGAGATGACACATGTCACCCGCTTCTCTGTGAAAAGTTAATTGGCCTTATGACGGCCCAAAAATTCCCAACTTTACAAATTGTTTCTCACACGGTATCGGGGGAGGCACATGTCACCAGCGCTTTGTTGTAAGGATGATTGGCCTTATGTTGGTTACCAGAACCCCAGATGTACGATTTTTTTATCACGCGGTTTCGGGGGCGACATATGTCACCCGTTGTTTTTGTGAGGTTGAAAGGCCTTATGTTGTTTCCCACAATCGCAAAATCATAATTTGCTTGCCTCACACGCTTTCGGGGGCGACACGTGTCACCCATTGTCCTACGTGAGGTTGGACGGCCTCATGTGGCCCCGAGAATCCCAAATGTACAATTGCTTTTTCTCAGTTCGGGGGTGACTCGTGTCGCTCGTTGTTTATGTCAGGTTGAATGGCTATATGTTGGCTCCCAGACTGTCAAATTTACACTTTTTGTTCCCCACACGGTTTGAGAGATGGCACGTGTCAGTCAAGCGTTGTTGTCTCGAGGCTGAATGGCCTCATGTTGGCGTCTGAAATTCCAAATCGGGAATTGTTTTTTCTTACGCGGTTTCGGGGTTGGCGCGTGACGCTCGTTGTTTTCGCGCGGTTGAGTGGTCTTC